AGTGTTGGAAGCTAATCCCATCCGCCGACAACACAACGAACTGGACGCTCGACTGGCAAGAGCCATATTCGTCCCGTGCAACTGAACTGAACTGCAATTTAGAACACTGGCAGTGGTAGGGGCCCGGAACGGGCTTACTACCGGAGGAAATCTAAACGCTCGATTGGCCGTGGCCATCTCCTGTCCTGTGGAAACTGACTGACTGACTGACTGACCCAACAGGCGAAGGCCTCTCTACGTCCTGTGATTTGAATTTGACTGCTGTAAGGGGCAACAATCTCGTTTAGTCCGATCCACTTGTATTTATGTCATCCTTTTATTAATTGTCATTCGCCTCTCTGTTTCCCTTCCAGACGTGAATGCTACTCAAGTTATGCTCCCTAATCAACCCCATTCAACCCCAGAAGACCTCCCGGACAGTTGCCCCCAGCCCCCGATTGCAACCCTCCTTGTACAGAGATGGAGTAATGGTTGACTTTTCCCCAATACACGCTGTGCTCCGGCCTACGTCTTCTCCCTTCTAAGGGTTTATCGATACCATTCTCGTTTAACTGTTCTTGTGTTTGCGCCAGGATGTTTGCTGATGTCTGCCAAACGATCCCTTTCAGATCACAATCGGCTGTCTGGCCCAAACCTGCGTCTGTCTGTTACAAGTTTGGCGACGGAGATGGGATCTCCGAGGATACATTCCGGGGATTACAGCGACGACACAAGTGCCAACCCGCCGACTATCAGGACTCGTCTACCGCAAATCACATTCACGGCTGCGCCGTCAGTACAGTTGGAACCGCCACCGCGATTTGAAGCGGGAACCAATTTGACACTATGGCAGATGAAGATGCAAAGATTCCTGCGTCGAGTGCCGACAGAAGAACACAGCCTGTGTATTCTGGATCTTTTAAGTGACCAGGTACAAGAATTACTGATCAACGAGAACGTGGACGAGGAATCCCCCCAGAGTCCATATGGAACAGCTTGAGGGAACTGTTCCCAGGTCAGGTCAACCATCCCTCCCTCCGACATCAATACTGGCGAAGAGACCAAAAACCAGGGGAGTCGGCGAAACAGTACGCAGACGAGCTTGGAATATTGGTCAGCCGAGGGTTTCCTGAGAAGTCCAAGGAGGTCCAACGGGAGGTTGCTCTTGAGCGGTTTCGAGACGGACCGTTAAATCCCGTCGCCAAGCGCGAGCTCCAAGGCCGAGCCCCCACCACTCTGGGAGAAGCGGTTCGTAGAGTGGAGACATTTGACATTCAGAGCCTGGTCAGAAACGAGGCGCAAAGACGGTCAGAAGAGCCAAAACAAGCGAGCAGCTCGCAGGTCAACGGCCCCAGATCCGAAGCACGAGTCCCCTGGCGCACCAAACCCCAGAGAAACGGTGGAGCGGCCCGCAGGTGGCAACAGCAGGAATCAATTGAGTCCCCATTGTGTTCTGTTTCTTTGCCGATTATACGTGGACCAATGGAATCACAGTGTTTTCCCCTACTTCTTACTGTTGGTCTCAAAGGTGAGTATGTTAGTGCTTTGGTCGACACAGGAGCCACTTGTAGTCTTATCGACGTAGATCAGTGTCAGATTCGTGAGTCAAGCCGAGATGGCTCTCGAGTGAAAGCCGTCAACGGGGCCCCTCTCCAAACCTGGGGCTGTCTGGACGTCGAATTTCAGATGACGGGGACCAAAGTCAAGCACCCCATGGTGGTCGCCTCGAATCTGCCATGGAAGATGATATTGGGAATCGATTTTCTGCGCCATTTTGAAATATGCCTCGACCTGTGTAAGAACATTCTAACCTTCGACGGGAAAGTAATTCACATGGGATCAGGCGAAGCAAGCGAGGAGGATTGGGCACTTTAACTCCACACCGTGGATCTCCCTGGCCAGGTGTCGCACATGGTAGAGAATACCAGGGAACTATTGAGCAAAGAACAGCAAGGGAGATTGAAGGCGATTATAGACAGCCACAAATCGGCGTTTCCCTGGGACGGTGTACCTTTGGGTCGTACCAAAATAATTCAATATCGCATCGACACGCAAGGA